CTATGCGTAACATGTTGGCTCGGAACAGAAATCAGTCAACAGCCCAACAAATTTGTAATGAGACTAGATAATAGAACCCAATTTGCAACTCAGCGATTGAAAATAATGAATCCATAGAAGACCTTGGCAAAAATGAACAGTTAGAGGTATTCAACGAGTTTCCTGCGATCCGTCTGTTGAAAACGAGGAAGCTGTCCAGTTTATTACGTGGAAGACCGCATGGTAGAACTGACGAATGCAGAGTTCGTTAGCTTGATGGTTTGAAGCATAAAACAACAATTGTTTAATGACTTTTTAAACAAAAAAATTCTATGCAGCAGTCACTATATTATCCTATAAATGAAGGACAAAGATGGTACTATGCATTGGCAAACAAAACAAGGCAAATTTCTCTCTTTGACTACCTAGAGATTATGAAATAAAACAAATTCCTTGTTTCAAAAAGGAAGGAGAAGTTTTCATTCTTCACATATAAAGTTAAAAAAATTATTCAATGAGTGTTTTATTTGACTTACGGAGCTGTTTAAAAATTAATTGGGATATATTCCAAGAAAGATGCTGTAATTTTGGTTCCATCAGAAAGCAAGAATCTCTTCACACCTATGTCAAAAAGTAAAATTAAGAGCTATGCAAAAAATAACTTATCAGGAAAAAACAAAAAAATTAATAAAAATTTATTGTCAAAGCAAGGTCTGAAACTGTCGAGTCGAAATATTATTTTTATTTCATTTAAAAATAATTTTGTGAAATGAAACTTGCATAATTTGGCCAAATATACAGTTCACAATAAAAAGTATATTAAACTAATTTTAAAGAGACAGTGGTTTTAAAATCTATACTATTTAATCGTAAATTTAAAATGATTCAACATAAGAAAATGGACTATAATAAATCATGGCACTATTTATTTTTTTTCAGATTGATTTAACCTCAATACTAACAGATCAAATTAATTGTCAAATCTTTAATTGTTCTTTTTTTTAGATAATATGCGTCTTCTATATCTTGAGTATTAACCATTTCGTGCTTTCTGCTTGGTTCTCTGGAAATTATTCGGTACTAAAAGATGAAAACGGTTATGTCTTTTGGTACAGAGATGGAGACAGTTTGTAGGCACAAATTTTAACGGTTTTACGACCAGGAAAACAGATTTTATAAGTCATCGATTGCTAGCTGAAAGATACGCAAATAGATTGGCAGGCTGTTCAGACGCCCGACCGTTTACGAGTGGAGGTATCGGAGCATGTCATACAATAGTGTAAACTTAATGAATTTCTATGATCTAGTAACGTATTACTTACAAGTAATCTAGTTTGGCACACCCAAAAATGGAGTCAACTACTACAATTTCGTGGACAAAACAAACGTTCCTATACTGGAGGCCCGAAAAACACGTCTCAAAACTGTCGATTTCAACACCATATTTTATCCTAATTTCCTCTTTTGTGCTACACCTGGAGGTCTTGGATACAATTTCGGAGTGTTTGTATCTTTTCTCAAAACGATTATCGCCTTTCGTCTGTGATCAACTGGAGAAGGCTCTTTTTCAACATAATGTATATCATGAAAGGTTGCTCCTACATCATCTATTGCATTACAAGCTCTCTTTATCTCACTAAATTGCGCGTCGACTGACTTCTGAGCTAGCAAATATCCTCCTTCTTTCAGAAAAGGAATTGTCCATTCGACAAGAATATCCAAAGAAGCTACAGCTCTCGCAGTTACAAAGTCGAATGACTCTCTCATTTCCTCTTGCTGACCGGCTACTTCGACACGAGTCCACAGACAGCGAACCGAGTGAAGTTGCAGTTGCTCGATTATTCTTTGTTGAATTTCCACTTTCTTTCTTGTTTTATCTATCAAAGTGATGTTACAGTCTGGCACTGCTATAGCCAAAGGAATTCCCGGTATTCCACCACCACTACCCACATCAACCAATCTTGTAGGGAAATTCGAAGAAAGTTTTTTGATCAGAGGTACCAGAGTAAGAGAATCTATACAGTGCTTCACAATAACTTGATCCCAATCTCTAATAGCTGTAAGGTTAACGTTTTGATTATGTTCCATTAATAGTCGTGCAAAGTGTTCAAGCTTTTCTACTTGTGATAAAGTCAAACTCAGATTACTCGCGCATTCGTTCCATAGCCGTTGAGTATTATCCTTGCGGGAACCATTGTTGCTTGCGTGTATCAAGTGAAACAACGCAACTTTTTTACAACGTAAACGAGGTAGCCTCTTCCACAAGCAAACAGGAAGAGTAGTAAAACACAACATGGTCAAGTATTACGGAGCTAAACAGCTCATCTCAATCCCATCAAAAACGTATGGATTTATTGAGGTTCACTTGTGCGTAATGCTTTATTGGATATAATACCCAAAACTGATTCCCTTGGAAAGACACCCAACAACGTCGTGATCCATAGATTTTTCAAGCAATGTTCATTCGTTGCAACCGAGTCTCTAAAACACTGATGACCGTGGAACATTCTTTCCATAAATAATGAGGAACTAATTGTTGTATTTGCTCTTTCAATATATTAAAACGCTGCGTGATCACACTCTTTTCCACTTTCATTTCCTATAGATACCCAAAATAAATAAAACGAATGTATATGCATTCAACCAGTTTTTCCACTAGATCCATTACTTTTCCAACTTACCCTGAACAAGTTTTCCAACAAAATGAAACTGTTTTCATCCACATAATCGATTGAAAAAGTTGCGATAGCATACACTAGCATGCGAAAGAACTTTTGAAATAGGGAAAATAATACGGTCTCTACTACGGTATCTTCTTCTTCTTCTTCTTCGCGCGGTATTTGACCATTTTCTATGTGTGCGTTCTGTGAAAGTACATCGATGATGTGTTGTTTGTTCGTAACGATGGGAATCACGGCTTCTATACCCGGTAACGATGAACGATTGACGTTCAACTCTTGCAACTGAAGAACATCGTTAAGAACACAAAGTCGATTATATGTAATAGACTTATTTTTCCCTACCGTTGGACAGGCACTTGCAGTATCAAGTTTTCTAAAGAGCGTTGCAGCAGCGGTATCGAATCCTTTTCCAGCAACGAATAGGGTACGATGCCCGTGAAGGAACCCCACTAATTTGAGTGCTTCTTCGTTTAAACTATCAGCCAGTTGTTTTCTCACATGGGTAGAACTCTCCTTGGAAGCAACAGCACGGAGAACTTGTCTTGTTGATCGACGGTAGTTATGTTTAGTAGTTCTTCCCAATGACCCTATTTGAGTATCTTTTCCAAGTTGATATTGTGAAGTATGCTTAACATAGTTAGTACCAAGTTTATTTGTGCAATACAAAAAACCAACACAAGTTTTCATTTCCATGGCGCCAAAAGAAGAATGCATTTTTCTTTCTATTCATCTTTGACTGCGATGGCATAATTAAATCCAGCATAGATTCGATCCACTTGAAGAGGTTCTCCTTGTTCATTTTGAATAGCAACTGGTTCCCATTTATCTTCTTCTTCTCCTGTTCCAAGTGCTCCGGCATGTCCACGTCCCCAACTGTACACATATCCTTCACTATCTACAGCCATAGAAAAGAACCATCCAGCTGCAATCCATTGTATAGGTTCTTTTGCCTGTTGTAATAGTTTCTCTACTATTCGAGGTTCTCCAGGAGAAGTACGTTGTTCTCCGACACCTAAACATCCAAAATGGTTAACACCCCAAGCCCAAACTTGACCTCCTTTTGTAAGTCCTAAAGTATGAGCTCCTCCAGAAACTATTTGTTTCCAAGGACCAGGAAGATGAAACAAGGCTTGAGGTTGTTCCCAATTGACTTCATTATCAGTTGCAAAACAGTGATATCGACCACAACCCCAACCAAAAGCTACACCTTCCTTATTGATAGCAAACGCATGTCCTGAACCACATGAAATATATTCCATTTGTTCCTTTTCTAACGCTCTTATCAAACGAGGACTCGTTTCCATATTTCTATGAGAATGAAATGGTTCCCATAAGAAAATTCCACCAGGTACTTCTCCATGTCCTAAATGTCCATCGTTTGCTGAACCAAAACTGTAGACCTAAATAGCTCTCATTATTCATCAATGTATTTAATCATTTATAAATACCTTGCCAGATTCCGACAAAGCTATAGAAAATCCATGTCCCGCTGCAACTTTGATGATTTTTTCCTCTTCTCTAGCCAAAGATTCTACTAGTTGAGGAGTTTCCATACGTCGACTAATGGTTCCTAATCCTAATTCTCCACGCTTTCCATAACCACATGAATAAAGATGGCCTTGTTCTAAGTCATATATGAGAAGACATAGTTGGATAATGAAAACAGTGTACTCATAGAGTTGCTTACCTGTGACAAACAAGGAATGTCTATCTCCCGCAGCACAAGTTATTACTTTTTCAGGTATGGAATCAATCAAAGTGATTCCTTCTACTTCTTTCAACGAACCTAAACCCAACTAGAGTAGGATAACTAGGTGAACGAAAAAATAATTGAAAACCCATTCTTTTACTCACCTGACCATATCTACCTACACCAGAAGAATACACTTGGCCTTGTTGAGTAACAAATAAAGTGAATCCTTGACCACAAGCGACATCTCGAATACTTTTATCTAGATATCAACGAGAGTGTATCCCATGAGAAAAGATATCACATATATATAAATACAAAACAGCAATTACTTTGTAAGGATGCGACTATTTTGGGTCGATATACAGAAGTAGCACCTGAAACGTGGTCTTCATATTCCTAAGTCCTGTTTGTCTATAGAATACGAAAACAAAAGTCTCAACTTGCTTTGCCAGCTACTTCACTAGGCAAATGACCAGTCCAACCACCGTCCGAGTTACCCCAAGCATATACAATACTTCTTCTTCCTTTTGACTTGTAAGAGTAACGATTATGATATATAAACCTTATGAATAGAATATTCTTCTTCCC